CTCTTAAAATCTATAAGCACCGTTGAAATCCCCGTTAATTTTTAGAGAGAATCAAAATCATAATTCCATTGAAATTTTTTAATTTAATTTAATGCCCATTTAGTATGTAATGCTTAAGAAGTTTACAAACAGCTAGAAGGTCAAGGAAGAAAGACCCAAACGTTTTGCCACCTTCATCTTCTTATTGAAAAATTAACGGGGATTTCAACGGTGCTTATAGATTTTAAGAGAAATGTTTAGATTAAAAGATATCACGATTTTCCGACGCCAGGACGTGATATCTTTCAAAATCGATAAAAAGCGAAATTACTCTGAAATGGTTGAGAATCGGACCATGGTCAATATGAACTTTTTTGTTCATTTTAGGGTCAAGAATCTACTGGTGAAGTTTGTAGCACGAGTAGCAAGTCACTCTCAAACATTAGCAATCCTTGAACCACCATTTTTTCTCTTTTTGTCATCAACATCTTGGTCTCACAACCACTAAATAAGAAAATGACGAGTGCGTTGGAAGCGTTATTAAATCAGGTAGTTTTCCTCAAATTTGCTGCCTTCTGAGACTAAAATTAGAAACTCTGGATTACTTTATACACTTTCCGATTTACACAATTTTCCACTCTTTTTGTAGTTCTGGCTGAAATAAAACACAAAAAATTAGCCCAAACATTTTGCCACCGTCATCTTCTTATTGAAAAATTAACGGGAATTTCAACGGTGCTATTAGATTTTCAGAGAAATGTTTAGATTAAAAGATATCACGATTTTCCGACGCCAGGACGTGATATCTTTCAAAATCGATAAAAAGCGAAATTACTCTGAAATGGTTGAGAATCGGACCATGGACAATATGAACTTTTTTGTTCATTTTAGGGTGAAGAATCTACTGGAGAAGTTTGTAGCACGAGTAGCAATTCACCCTGTATAGTTTCATAAATTTTAAATCAAAATCTAACAATTTTAAAATAAAAAAATATATATTGAACAAAAACACACGACATATTAAAAAAGAAGCAAAAACAATTAGAAAATAAGAGTCCTTCGGTTCCCATTATAAATATAAAAATAAAGTATATGCAATTTAAAGTAAACAAAAATTCTGAAAAAATATTTTAACTACTGAGTACAGTATTTTTGCAACCATAGCAGAAATAATGTTCAAAAGCGTGCAAGATATATGCCGCTGTTGTTCAAAGTTGAGAACATAGAGGAATAAAGAAAAACTAAGATAATTATGTATTATTGTGTATGCTTTGTAGGCTATGATGAACTCCATACTTTATTTACTACAATTCCTATGTTATTTTACTTCAATATGGCATAAATATTTTGGAATATCGAATTTTATGAGTTAATTGTCTATATAGACGTAAAGGCAAAACGGAGGATTTAATTTTAGCAAATTGTGCCATGCGTTATTCTCAAAGAACGAGGTGTTTTTCTTGACTGAAAACCCGACCGGCCTAGAAATTCTACGACGTGTGTGTGTGTGTGTGTGTGTGTGTGTGTGTGTGTGTGTGGGCGCATAATTCTACCTTTTGCCAATCTCAGCTGGATGTTTGAGCCATTTCGTATAATAATTAAATTTCACGAGAAAGGAATCTTGATATAAATCAAATTTACAAAAAGAGTCACCGCACGCTCGACGTGAATAATGTATATTTGAAATTAAATTGTATGATGTTAAAATTTCCTATTGGAATTTATGTCCAAAACGTTTCCTTTCTGCTTTCAATTTTTGAATTAATTAGTCCAAATTCTGAACTAATTGGATAAAACTTAAACCATAAATAACTATTTCACAGGAATTATTCTAGATAGTATATGGTATTTCAGAATAAATTGTCGAATTATTCTACACTGTTCATAATGAACTAGAAAGAATCTCAACCTTTGTTGATTCTTAAAACTTCATCCATTAAATAATATTAATTATTACATGAATGAATGTTAATAATAATTTTTCAATTAATTAATCTTTATATAAGGCATTGGTTCAGATAAAAAAAGTCAATGTCACAAGCGGGATTCGAACCAACGAACGGTGGGGTTGAGATGGGAAGTTGGTGCCGAGTGGATCGATAGCTCAAGTGGTAGAGCAGCGGCGTATTTAGCCGAGGGTCGTGGGTTCGAATCCCGCTCGTGACACTGACTTTTTTATCTCAACCAGTGCCTTATATAAAGATTAATTAATTGAAAAATGTTATTCAGTCAATCGGACCACGAACTCTAATGAAGTTAATAATAAAAGACTTTTTCATGATAGCGTTAAATCACAAACATTAAAAAAATAGTCCCTTAACTACAATTTTATTGATAAAAGATCAAACGAAGAGTAAGTTTTTGTATTGATAAGGGGGCAAATTGTCATATTTAAAATACCTCACGCTAATATGACGTTAGATCATTACTGTGAATGTTCTATTTATATATTAGTTATATTGATGTAGTTTGGTTGTTTCTGATCCTCCTGGTCCGCCTACCCTCGCTGTTTTGTTCTGCCAGATACGCTTCTACATGTTAATACGATGTACAAGTACCGTGTAGGAAGCCTAGGGAAACACAAAAATTGTAGTCAAGCTTTCGGCCAAATCCCTTCATCAGGACAACTTAAATTAGAACAAATAGCATAAAAAAAATTATTTTCATTTTCTTGTTGTTTTTTCTCTGATGACCATAAAGACTGTATTTTTGTTAATTTTGTTGCTATTTGTTTTAAATTAAATTATAAATTGTAGTCCTGATGAAGCTTGAAATAGGCCGAAAGCGTGACTACAAGTTTTGAGTTTTCCTTGCTGTCTTCCCCCTGGCATTTGTTCATTATATGTGACATCAGAGGATAAATAACACATAAAAAAAAACACACTTATACATTTTACTTATACTTACATATATCTCAACTTGACCGAAGTTAGTTATTACGGTTTCCTGCAATTTGTAAAAGGTTTACGCCTAAAAATTATTAAGCCAGTTTGATCTTTTATTTTGATGTTTTTTTAATGACTCAAAGCACTTTAAGCCTAGAGAATACGATGTATTATATTTATAAAAGGTTATACATTATATTTATACTGTTTACCAATTTTATAAATGAATAAATAGCTTTTTGTATGCATTTTGGTTGTTTCGTATTACTCTAGTCCGCCTATTTTCGCTGTTTCGGTCTGTCAATAGTTTCGCCATTTCTGTACCTTCGATTTTAGTTTTATCAAACAAAATACCTCACTAAAACTCTTTTTTTGTACATTGTCAAAATACAGCGGTGATTTACACTTAGCTAGAATAAAATTCAAAACAATTCCGAAATCTTGTATTAAGCTTCAAAGTTACTTTACTGATATTTGAATCGAACTAGAAATTTTATTCGGCCGTAAAATGAACGCGTCCTTTCTGAATTCACTCTACACCACTCAGCTGGTTCACTTTCAATCAATTTACTTTCTCTAATTTACGAATCATTTTCCATCTTTTAATTACAGAGCGAAAAGTAGATTACAGAGAAGAACGGTGTACGAATAAAATCTTATAATTTCCGAGGATAATTCTCTCCATCCGATCCAGAAGCACGTAGTCAATAAATTTCAATAGATCTTTTTAGTTCGTGGCTACAAAGAACCTGCTATTAGATCTTTCTTTCAATATATTTCTTATATTATTAAATTTTTTGTGCATGAATTTTATTCTAATTTGTTTTCTGGTTCAGATGAACATAAAATTTAGTGCAAACAGTTTTTCTGCCAGAGTAAAAAATATTCAATATTTTCCTATTTAGGCATTTAAAAACAACATAAATTCTGTCCTTTCTACTTTTCAAACTTTGTAGTGACATATTACTTGCGATCTTACATTTCTTTGATTTAATTCATCGTCATCCAACGCGTTTCGTGAAGGTTTTTAAAAAGTATTGTCAAGTTACAACTTTTGGCTATCAGCAGTGAACAGGTTTGCTCAGATTGCCACGTAATTATGAAAATATTTCGGGATTCCTCCTTGTAAATTTTGAATTTATATCGAAAAGCGTCATCCGAGCGAGGCCGGTATCGGTTACAGTTCTATCTCCAAGCTTCATGAGCGCTTAACATTTTATTACATTTTTTATTGAGAGCTGGGTGAAATCAAAATTTAATTCCGTCCCATTTTGGACACAATGTGGAATTCTTGCGTGATTAAGTTCCAAATAAATACTGCTGTTGGCTTGCAATTAAAACAAATACTGAAGTCAATAACTTTGGCTTTCCTCGATAACGAAATTCTCTACAGTAAAACATAAACATATTTAAAAAAATATAAGAAACGGCTGTTAAAAAAATAAAAATAAATAAATAAAAATAAAAAAATAATCGAATATGACAAAATTTTAAATAAATTTTATCGTGTCTGAAAAGCAGCCTTCCCTACCGGTTTTTAATCATTAAGTAAGATAAGCAAGTACCTTATTATCCCTATTTTTAAAATATATTATACTGACTAATCAAAATAAAACGCTTATTAAATCAAATTCCTATCGTGCTATTTACTTTAATTTTTTTTTAAATTCAGTCGTAGTGTTTACATTTTACAATTTAAACAACGGTTTAAGGAAGTCTTAATTTGCAAAAGGCTATTAGTCAGTCCAAATAGTCAATGATTTAGGGGTCAAATATCTAACGAACGCGATCATGTTTTGAATATTTTATAGAGAGGCTCAGCAATTGAGATAATCATTAAAAAGTTGTTTTAGATTTGAACCATCCACTAATGCACAAACACCCAATGATTTTAATGATCCTGTGTCACAAATTATAGATCTAATGGACCTGATCATATTTTGAAAGTTTTCGCGCGCTATTCGTCGGCTATTTATTTGTTATCAAATTTCCATGCAATTATTTTTTTATTATTATTTTTTATTCTTTTGAATAATAGTATGTTCTATAATACATTATAATTCGCGTAAACATTATTATTGCTGATAATTCGAAATTCTACTTAAAGTCTAATATGTGAAAATATGTTGTGCCTACATGAAACAGAGGTGGTGTAAAATCCAATAATCCGCTAAGTGGCCAAAGCTGGAAGGCGGCGGCTAAAATTCTCCGACTGCACAAAAAAAAGCTTTTCGAAACACACACGGCGACACGCGGTCACCCACACCGAAGACTGGCGAATGAAGTTTCCTTGGAGACTGAACGCCTTCGACGTCTTGGGGGTCCCCCACTTAATTTTCAAAGCACCAACGTCTTTCCCCACTCGGACTTGGCACGGGCTTTGCGCCTCGACGGGCCTAGGACACATACGAAAGGACTTGAAACAAGTCGCGGTAAACGGTATCGCCTCCATACCCCTCAAAAGCCGAGTTGATCTTCTTTTTCGACAACCGTCTCGTAAATCTTTGACCTACTTCCTCAGAGAAAAAATTTGCGAATAAGCAAATCAACAAAATAAGAAAAATGGAGTAGTTACAGAGTAAAAAGTGAAATGCAAAATGTATTCCTTACTATATAATTATCACTTTCATTTTGCCCAAAAAAACTTCTTTACCACGTAAAATATTTCCCCGCTTATTAGTTCTAATAGTCATAACGGATAATACGCAAATAAACTAACTGTTAACCCCTGGGGAAAATAATTAATCTCGACGGACAGGTTCGACGATCCGGATCCCGAGTAATTGATCCTTGTCACATGATTGAACGAGATATTTTTGACAGTTGCATAAGGACACGATTCATCTCAACCGGAGTGACGTTTTCTGCGGTCCCAGAAACTTCTGGCCAGTTTTGGGCTTTAAAAAAAGGAATGATTTCGCTCAAAAGGACGCGGAAAAAATGAACAATAAATCATAAAAGACAAGCCGAAGACCATGTCAAAACTAGCAGAATTTCTTCTCAGTGATGGCCCATTGAGAATATACATATGAAGACAGAAAAACATAATAATTTTATCTGACAGAAATCCTTTTGAACAAATAAGAACAATGCTTGTTAGAAGAAATTACATGATTTGCAAAAATCAAAACGCAAGAGTTCTTACTTGAAGGTCGTCTGTCGAACCCTTTCAAAACCTAGAACAGGGACCTCCCAGGTTTATAATTGCATAAATACCCAATATATTTCATATTGAAATTAATCAATTAACAAACAGGGAAAAAATTATTTAGAAATCGTGAGATGCGTTCAGGTGTGATAGATATTACATTCCCTTAACAGATTTCACCCACGCTTAAAATTTACACATGAAATCCGAAACAACAAAAAAATACCATTTCTAGATACACTCATGATAAAACAACCAGATGGAACATTAATCACAGATCGGTATCAAAAACCAAGAAACACAAATCGCTACCTCAACTTTACATCACACCATCTCCTTCATACAATAATAAACATGGCCAAAGGGCTACTAACATAATTATTACCCTGAGCCATGAATCGTTTCACCACAAGAACATAAAGATATAGAAACATATCCTACATAACAATCACTACCCTAAACACATAATCAACAATTACAACTCAACACTATCACTAATAACAGTACATCAACTCTATCAAACAGACAAACCAACGCACATATCCATCCATTCACGTCCTATCACACAAATTAAACACATTTCTTTCTTCTAATAACTTTAAAATAGACTTCAAAAACTATTCACATGCTTTTTTACAAAATTAAAGACATGTAACAAATAAGTCTAATGTAATTTACAAAATCAATTGTATAAATTGTCCGGCAACTTACATCGAAATTGCATCCCAATATCTGGGATAAGAGAGTAAAACAACATATTGCAAAATACCCAACCAAAATCCTACAGCACTGGTACAATTTCGATTTCAACAATCCAAAAATATTAAACAGAACAAAACAAACATAAGCGTAACTTTTTAGAAATGGTTTACATCAACAGGGGCAAACACAGCGTAAATTAACGGACACATGTAAACTCAGCCGCAGCTAATATCATAAATCAAAATGGATATCTATAACACACAAAACATATAAAACAATTCTACATAGTCTAAAACCCCAACAATTCATCACTCCTTTCCCTAATAATCCCGCCTAACAACAAACTATTACTATTTTTTCCATTGTCGGTCCCTTTCACCTCAAAAGCCCGACTTCTCAATAGATAAATGAATTTCTATCCCTACATCCTTCCCCACTCCTTCAAAATCAAGCATATAAACAAAAAACATTAATATCTCAATAACACTCTCAACACGACACACAACAATGACACATCTACACAGAAAACACACACTTTGAGCGATAACAAATACCCTGATTACACCTAAAATTTCTATTTTCATTGTATAAATTCATTTTTACATCTTAAATTTATTTGTATACTTTAAACAATGTTTATATATCCCAGGCCCTGAAGATGTACTCAATAAAGTTCAAAACGTTGGCACGATAAAGAAAATGTTTTTCTAAACCTACATCACCCCAAACCGTATATCACGATTTTTAAACAATCATTAATTAACGGTCACTAAATACTACACAAAGACAAAAAAGGTCTATTTTAAAACAATTTGTTCAAGATGTCCTTTTTTCCTAGTCGGTTTATTTTATGATATTCACACATGGCACAAGTCGTACTAAACGTTCGGGCCCAAGGTCTGTCTGTGTGGACGTAGAAAAGTGAAACTTTTTAAAGGATTGAGAAAATCAGGACGCAAGATAAGACTCGGAGTTAAAGGAGTCAAGTATGCCTTGGGGGGATCCGGCCAGTCTCGAGACTGAACCTTTTTCCTTTATCAGCCAATAGGGATTTCGAATCAATTAAACATTCTCAAAGGAATGCCGAATAAAGAGTTTAGCAAAATCATCGTACTGATCGAATTTCCAAATCGAGTCACTTAAGAGGAATTGTACAAAATAAAAATAAAAAATAAATATATAAAGGTTTTAAATTCCAAATCAGATAGATTTTTGTGGATGATACAGCCTTCCTCAATTTATTTTGGACGATTACACTATATTTTTAAATATAATGATGTTGGGAAATCCAAACCAAGAAACTGAAAAAACAAATGTGGTAAATCTACATTTCATGAAAATAATCTCCCCAAAGTTTGCAAAAAGTAATACGCTATGACAATAACTTCAAAAACTATTGGTTATGTACTTAAGCAATGTTTCATGTAATTTCATTACAGTCACAACTGTAGAATAATTTATTATCTAGCCTTGTGTAGAATTAGTGGTGTAATGCACCGCTCCTTTCGAGAACTGTGTCGCTGTTCCTTACTTACAATGCACCAGTTGCCTATAACTCATCTATGACGTTTTTTCCAGTTGCAACAGTGCGGTTTACATGGTTATGCTGATGTCAGCTTCTGAGCAGTCCGTTAACGGAACTGCAAAAAACTGCATTGATGTTTACGTTTCTCCGATATCCGGTGCAGGGTCTATGAATTTGATTGCATGGAATTTTAGATACCAGGGCATTATTGCACCTTTTCTCCACCGAGTCTGAATTAAATATGAGAAGAATTTTATGTACAAAAAAACATTAAACATAAAATAGCTTAGGGGAAAAATATACTGTAAATAATTATTCAGAAATCGTGAGATGCGGTCTGGTGTGATGTAGGTTTCAGAAAAACATTTTCTTTATCGTGTCAACGTTTCGATCTTCATTGAGATCATCTTCAGGGCCTGGGATTTACAAACATTGTTTACATTTAACAAATACATTTAGGATGTGGAAAAGTGAATTTATACAATGCAAAATATATTTTTAATACTCTTTTCACCTCAAAGAAGCCGACGCCTTATACAAAAATATCTTTTCTATACCGACTTCCTTCCCCACTCCTTCAAAATCCAACGTATATAAACATAAAACAGCAAAATCTCACTGGCACTCTCAACACGACCCGCAAGAATGACACAATTACACAGAAGACAAACACTTTGAGTGAGTAGAAATACTTTAATTGAATATAAAAAATATATTTTGCATTGTATAAATTCACTTTTCCACATCCTAAATGTATTTGTTGTAAATCCTAAATGTAAACAATGTTTGTAAATCCCAGGCTCTGAAGATGATCTCAATAAAGATCGAAACGCTGGCATGATAAAGAAAATGTTTTTCTGGAACCTACATCACACCAGACCGCATCTCACGATTTCTGAATAATTATCGATTAACGGTCACTAATCCCCACACATACTGTAAATATGTAAAACTAAACTGTAAATATTGTAAATGCCCGCCTTTTGTTTTAGTTCATACTATTTGTTAAACTGTAAATATTCGTTTCTCCATTAGTCTTATTATTTATAAATTAATCTGAACATACTCCTATACTGTGTAAATAAGGTGGGGTCATCGGACATAATCCCACATCATGTCCCACGTGAATTAGGGAAACTTAATTTAAACACAGCAAAACTAGCATGTAATCATGTTACAATAAAGTAGTGTAAATATATAAAAGAAAAAAAAACAGAATCCTAGTCTATTAATTACCTTCGGGGCTCCGTCCGAACCCTGGGTGATGTTTCGCATTATGGATGCGGGAGGCGGCACTCGCGTGGTTTTAGACGCGGTAATTCTTAGTACGTAAAATAAAAATTCTTCTTGAAAATAAGAATAAACTGAAGTAAAATAACCGTTGGAGGCTGATTAACTAGTAGACTGAACGGAAGCGATTGGGAAGCGAACAGGTAGCTGAACGTAGGACAAGACAAAAACAGGGATTCTGGGGTGGGACAAGAGCTATTGTGTTATTGCAAAATTAATGCAGGTTGTGAAAATTTGTTTTATTTTCGCAGGTGCATGTCATGTAAACAAAGCTAAATCCTCAATTCTAATTGATGGATTACAATAAATCTTTTAACTGTTATCTTTTATGTAGTATAGTTTATATTGAATTTTATGAGTGCGGTCCTGCGAAATTAAATATGCCTAAACTAGATTTTCGCCAAATTTATTTGTATGAATTTAACCTTGGGCGAAGTGCGGCTCAAACCGCGCGTAACATCGATACAGTTTGTGGGAAAGGAAGCATTAGTGGATTCAGATTTTTCGTCTTGGAGTTTTAGTCAGGAAAGGTAGTGGTAGGCCTCCCGTTGTGGATGACGACCAACTCAAAACGTTGATTGAAGAAAATTCACGTAAGACAACACGGGAAATTGCGGAAGAGCTTACTGTTGGCC